AGTCTAGGGAGTTGCCTACGCCTACTCCCTAACCCTAACCCTATCAGATAGTTACCAGGGTACGATCCGGTATACCGTACCGTACCCAGGGTACGTTCCGGCAGTACCCTGGGGGACATAGACCCTATGAGCTTTAGTAGCACCATTGCTGTAGTACAGGTAACGTACAAATGCCTAACTCTGTTTAAATTGTTATCGTATTCTAGATCAACGTTTCAAAAGTTTGTCTTTAGTACATGTTGAATACAATATTTGGGTGCAAGTGTTTAAGCAGGTTCTCAGTGTCTGCTATTGCCCTTGTTTCAGGTCGCATTTATCCAGAATCCCCCATTAGACCTAGCTGTGTTCTTTGCAACTTTCTTTGGGTAAGTATTAGCAGTGTTATATAGCTTTCTTACACTTTCTGATATGTGCAATTTCAGATAATGTTTCTAGCAGAACGAACCGCGCTAGAGATCATTCAGTTCTTATTAATCTTCTTTGGGTAAGTCACATTAAGCCTGTATGCATGTATATCCTCTTGTATACACATATCTACACATAGAGACGTGAACTGGTGTGTGGATTCATACAACCCTAGCAGGGTTTATTTAATATTGATTGATTATTGTATCAATGTATGCAAATTTTTCACTTTACATGATCCGTAACAGATCATGCTCTGTCAAGTAGCAGTGGTAGGAGTGCTGGGCTTGTGCCTACTAACAACTGCATGTTTTATGTTTGAGGCATATACTAATTAAACCTTTTGATTTGATTTTCTCAAAATTATATCATTAAATGACTATTAGGTGTATGTGTAGATATATCATCTGCATCTTTTTGCTGATCATTTGAGCATTATAGTAATTACTAGTCTTAGGCTTATACATGCATGCAAGCACACACTTAGTTTACTAGACAATTATTTTGTCAATTGTCTCTTTGGAATGTCATATTGTTTATATGAGTATTATTTAACATAAATAAATAAGTAACAGATATACAAGGACAACCGTTGTCACAGTATTTGCTGTGGATTATAAATAACCTCAACGATCATACAGGTTGCAGCAGTGATGTAGTGTTACTTTTGAGTAGAGGTCTGTCTGTAATGAGACTGCAATAGATCATCATCCATCACATCTTCAACACAGTGATAGATTTATTTTTAGCTCACATTGACATCGTCAAGATGAGCTATTCCCTTAAAACACTGACTATCCATAAATGATCAAACAACCACTTCTCTCCAATAAATATCATTTATTGTTATTTGTTATCGCACTGGGGTATACCGCAATCGAATACAAAGCAGAAATACGAATAAGCATATTTCTCTGCTTCAACTTTCTGTCAATCTCTGTTAAAATCTCTCTGGCATAAGACACTTTGTCGTTGTCACACGCCCACAGGCCTTGGGTAACAGAATCTAATAAATCTCCATTAAATACGTACTGAATTCTGTTTCCCGTGTATTTCCAGATCAGGTCCTTCTCCGATTTCAATTTTTCCACCTCATTAGAAACAGCCTGAGAATTGCCTCGGAACCTCATCTCGTAAAGAATTTAATTCTGCTTTTTGTCCTTTAAACTCACTCAGAAGATCTCTCAAAGTATCGTTTATCTCCGATTGCCCGCTCTGCTCTGTCATGATGTAATAAAGCTAAACGGATAAAAAATACGTCCTCTCAGCCGTGGTACCCCAAGCTGAATGACTACAACCTGTTAGAATTCCCGCCAGTTCCTTGTGCTACCGACACGCCATCTATGGAGCGTAAAAAAGCCAAGGGAAATAATTTTTCATCTTATTCGTTACACTCAACCGAAGAAAAATACATTTGCCATGGGGTGTCGTCCGTTGTCCGTCCGTCCTTCCGTCAACATTTGGCTACGGTCAACGATAACTTGAGAACCATTTGACCCACATGTTTCAAATTGCATACAGTTGTTACTCCTATGGGAGAGATGTGAACGTCCTATTTTGGAGCACGCCAGTTCACCTACTTTCGAGCCACGCCCACTTTTTGGCAAAAATGGAAATGGCCATAAGGAAGTTCAGGTTCAACGGATTTTGCTAATTTCTGGTATGTGAATGAATAAGGACTGGCCTCAAAACATATCACAGGGGTTTTGATATTTTTTTTTAAATTATGCAAATTAGGTAGATTTTGCCAATTTCACTATGCATTTCAGTGTCTACCTACGGTCAACGATAACTCAAAAACCGTTTGACTCACATGTTTCAAATTTCATACAGTTGTTACTCCTATGGGAGAGATTTGAACGTCCTATTTTGGAGCACGCCAGTCGACCTACTTTCGAGCCACGCCCACTTTTTGGTAAAAATGGAAATGGCCATAAGTCAGTTTAGGTTCAACGGATTTTGCTAATTTTTGGTATGTGAATGAATAAGGACTGGCCCCAAAACATATCACAGGGGTTTTGATATTTTTTTTAAATTATGCAAATTAGGTAGATTTTGCCAATTTCACTATGCATTTCAGTGTCTGCCTACGGTCAACGATAACTCAAGAACCGTTTGTCAGTTTGACCCACATGTTTCAAATTGCATACAGTTGTTACTCCGATGGGAGAGATTTGAACGTCCTATTTTGGAGCACGCCAGTCGACCTACTTTCGAGCCACGCTTTTTTTTGGCAAAAATGAAAATGCCCATCTAGATTCATTCGAGTTTGTTAAATTTACCTACCTACCTACCTACCTACCTACCTACCTACCTAATCATACCTACGTGTAATATTGTGTTTTAGATTCTTCGTTACAGTAATTTGACTGGAATATTTTATTGTTTTTATTTGCGTGATAATCGAAAACCAAAATGGCGATCATTTAGGCGTAGCGTCATCTCTCGCCCAGATTTCAGACTTTCAGATCTGAAACATTTATTTTCGCTAATCATCGCTTCATCAAAACTAACCCTGAAACAAAACAGTGAAATTTCTATTAGTATAAAACAGGGAATAAGGACATTTGATCACATTTTGGTCCGTCATAAATGAAACACTTACCAAATTTTAAATATCATCTCCCTCTTCTATCACACCCAAGGTGAGCTATAGTGTCATTGACACTTTCATTTCAGTTGATACTGATAGTCAGTTCAGTGTGCTTGAAATTGGTGATGTTGATTTTTTTTACTTCCAGCTGCTTCACATCACTGTTAGTGATCTCAGCATTGATTTGGAAGGCAAAGGACAAATGGGACTTGCATAGGCGCAGGCAGGTAAGCATGGGGTACACAAAATCAGGATCTGACACTTTGGAGATTTCCATGATTGCTACTTCATTACTGATTATATGCTTATTTTGTGGCCCATTTATATTGAATAGTGAATAACATTATGTGGAATGGCGTGGACATTGCGATGTGTTTTTCATTTTAAGTTTCAAATAAAACTACAGTCCAATCGTATTCCTTATCTAGCGATTGTTCGTGGAAATGGAAAAGATGGCAAGTCGACCATTTACCTCTGTCTTCCTTATGGTGGATGAGAGGGTGCCATTGGTAGAAGATGATACAGATGTAGAGCTACTGCCTAGCATAGACCTAGTACCAGTCTATCCAATGCAAGGATCACCTGGGAAATCCAAGGTATGCAAGTTCCCCCATACAGTTGTATCAACAATCCACCCAACAAGACAACGACTACCGTCTGTATATACCCCGTTTCTCCCAGCCTTGGGGTCTCTGGTGGGCAATACGTTATCAGACAGTGTGTACTACCAATATAGTCTATTAGTCTTTAACATACGAGCAGTGGCATAGCCAGGATTTTTGAATATGGGGGCCAAAAACAGCGTACTGTGCAAAATAGTGGATGACTTAATATTTTAATGGTTCCTCCGCCTCCCTTTCCACACCCTATGCTCCCCCACCTCTCAGGTCTGCAATCTTTGTTTTGGGCGCCATGCAAAAAGGCGAAATTTTTGTTCGTTGTGCTCTGCTCCCAAGATATGTAACTGTTCAGTGGCGGATCCAGGATTCCAAGGAGGGGTTGAAAAACAGGTGGGGGGGGAGGTATGGGGGTCCTCCACCAGAAAATTTTGAAAATGTAGATTGCAGGAGATGGTATTGGAAGCACTTTTGAGTACAAGTACAGCCTTCATTCTGACTACGACAATTTGCTTTTTAGTGGAACAATTCTTTTTTTCGTTTTTTTTTTTAACTTTTGGATTAACAAGGGGTGGGGGGGTTGGCCCCTCTAACTATGACAATGCATACGAGGCTTGCCAGTGAAACTCTTAATTCCTTTTTCAACTTTACTGAGCCTGTCCTACTATTTTGCCAGAAAAAGTCACAGGTTTCTTACCTTTATTCTATACAATCAATTACACAAATTGTATTTCAATGAACTAAAAATTGACCTATGCAGCAAATAACGTTACAGAAAAAATCAGGATAATTATGTATATCCAGATATAATTGGCACTGGCACCACCGGGTTCCTGAATTAGTTTCACAAAAGGCTTTTTTATATTAATTCTATAGAGCTCAACTTGCAGCACCCAACAAAATTTATGTATTCATTACATGTGTTATTGCTTTGACCTTTATCAATGCTACTAAGTTGTATATAGCCGGTGATAGGAACTAATACCGCAAAGCATGTAATAACCAATGCCCTCAACTCTTGGATATGGATCTGAAGGGTTTATGAGGCAGTCCAACGTATCTGAGAATATATTGGTTATATTTTGTTTTAAATAACTAATCTAAACTTGATCATTTATTATTACTTGATTGATATTAAAAACATTGCATGCAATAATCCTATTAACTCTCACAAGATCTGTAAACATGTTCTTTTTGTTCAATTTTTATACCTTTGTCATAAGTCAAAATAATTCCAACATTAGGTCCCTCTTCTATCCTATGTTTCTGAGTAGGTACGTTGGAAAGTGTCGCATGCACTCAAAAACAACCTGTAGTGGCATTTTTGTTTAATCTTACTAAAGCCTAAGATTAGAGTCAACAGGGAATACAGGCTTTGCACAGTAATGGCACAGAGAATAGTAATTCTCTTGTTAAATTCCCAGTGGTTACCATATCAGTATCAATATCGAGTGTTCAATAGAGGATACTTTTGTCGTTGGTCTGCATGATGTGCTAATATCATTTTCGCTCTTATGGCGCTATAGTAAATATTTGAAACACAGACCCAAACTTCACTGCATTGCTGTGTTTGCATCTAGCACCTCTATCAACATTGCCTTGTGTTTCTATGCAGAGTGACGTTGACCCTGTTGTACTGGAGCCATGTTCCAACAACCATTACTACGTTATGTCAGCGATTGTGCGTCTGCCGACGGGCGGCGGTGCCTACACGCCGGACAGCACCCCGGGCGTGGTTATAGGCTCCACCCTGATCGACGTCGGCAAGACGAGGCCAAAGGACGTGCCGAAAGCGAAGGCTGTTACGGGGTCAAACTCCGAGCGCATCAAGACGATCAGCGAGACCATATTGTGACGTGACGACATGTTCACTCGCCACCACGTTCCTAGCACCAAGCATCAGCTATTTACAGTGAGCTGATGGACTTTACTTAACAGTGCCGCTCGCATGCTGCTGTGGCATATTTAGGGATGGCTCATTGGTTAGTGTAGGATTGGAAACTTAGTGAAAAAGTGGCACATGAAAATGCACATTCCATGCCTGTCTCTGCGGTACCATTACTTGAGATCCGATATGTATCAGTGTAAACATTTAAAAATCCCATCCTCACCACAAGGTTAATTGAAACCTTTTTTCACACATCGTGATCCACTGCACTAAATGCAACCAAGGTTTTATAATACGTTTAAAGGCCCGCTTATGTCGGCCTTACGACCTAGTCGCCGACAAGATTTGAATATCGTACGTCAAAAACCGGCCAGATCGCCGATAAAAACATCGGCGACCAAACTCGACATGAGTTCTCTTACGATCGAAAATACGGTCGCCGACTGCGATCGCAGGAATAGAACATGTTCTATTTCTATGCGGCTGTCGGCGACAAATCGTGAGTGGCAGCCAATCACCGCAGCGTGTCGAGTCAAATGATTATCAAAAGTCACGTGATTAATAAAATGGCAACCTACACGCCACTCGTCAGCAGTTTACAAGGAGGGATTATTGCACAAACCCTTTCTCAAATATATATTAAGTTTTCCGTATATCACATAAAAAAAATTTCTGCACATGATTATAACGATGTTCAGAAAATTGAGAATAGATTTACGAAGTTACATGATGTTTACTGGTAAGCGCCATTTTGTTGGTCACGTACGTGACTCATTTGATGTAGACTAGCTGGTCCCGGCGTCAAGCTTGCTTTGTTTGTGCTAAAGAACTGCTTGTGCTAGTACAAATGCAGGAACGCTACGATGTGATCGGCGATGTGCAGCGTAGTCACTTAAAGTCGACATGAGTGTTGCTACGCTGCTAATCGGCGCTAAAGTAGTCGCCGATAGTAAAATCGTAGACCGACCTGAGCGGGCCTTAAATACAGTAATTCCCCAGGCTACGAAAGTAATATGATCCAGAAAAAACGTTCGTAATGCAAAATTCTATAATCTAAATTCATCGACTTCCATCGTATAATTAAAGATAAGTTCCTATGAAAGTTTTTTTTGGCCAAAAGAAATGTAGTTGATCCCCGATCTCCCCTGATGCAAGTTCCTAGTCCCCACAGTTATGACTGCGTGTAAAACATATATATATGTATGCGAAGATATATATTGACTATTTAATAATAAGACACAGGAAAGGCAGTTCAGAATAATTATCATCCTGTGCCTGGAGTACCCTGGACGCATATCGTCTGATTGTGAATGAACAGTTATGAGTGCGAGTAAACATTGTCAAACATATATATTAATTATTTAATAATGGTACACAGGAAATGTGTTTGAAAAAAAAACCATACAATACTTTCAAACAGCGCCAGACCAAATATTCATTTCATATCGCGAGTAAAATGATCGTAATTTAGAAATTACGTGTCGGCGAATTTACGCAACACGAGTCAGCGTAGCGCAGGGTATTACTGTATTTCACAACTGAGTAGTTCGGTGAGTATTGGACGTGTCTGTCAAATCCAGTGCTCGTTTATCAGCAGTATATAATTACCCTTGATGCCGATCAATCGTACAGTTTATGCACATGTTAGTGATGTGTGAGTACACACTGATCGAGATAATGCATCAGTGGTTCCTGAGTGTGGCTTACCAACACCACACTAATGTAGGGCATCATGCCAGCTGAGGAAGTCGTCAACAAGGCTCACCAGCCTTAGCATGTGCATACACGCGCGTGCGTGCATGTGTGCACTTGACATAGTATATGTCTTTTCATTAAGCAGCACGGGTATTTTGGGGTTCGGTCATAAGAGTATATATCAGAGCATTCTGAAGTTGGCGGTTGCCCCCGGAAACTGGAAACCCGTTTTCGTTTAGTTAAAAAAAATTACTAGTGTCTGGATTATTTCCTCAAAAAAACATTAACGCAACCATTTCCCAACTTATAATGTAGAAAATCTCATTGTAGACTTCTAAATTGAAAATCTAATTTAGAGGTGCATGTTCCAGTATCGCGCCGACATGCTGCGCCTGCCTGCCTTTGGTAAAACCTCCAGGAATTTCATCAGATCAACTAGACAGCTCAGGCTATGTTTTCTTTAGCATTTCCTGTTGCACACACGAGTTAACTGCTGTAGGTAGTCGTGACACTGTGGCCTAGGAATTTCTATTAATACCTTTAATGTCTAGCAGGCATGGCTGGTGGCAACATAAAAAAATGTGGGCTAATTAAAAAAAAAGATTGATTAACTGTGTCTTCTTATAAGTTATGTTTTAGAAGTATAAGTGGTGCATTTTACAACCAAAGTAAAATTTTGCTTAATTTTTAGCTCATCTGACGTAGTCAGATGCAGCTTGTAGAATCGCATGATTGTCCGTGCGTGCGTGCGTGCGTCCGTCCGTCCGTCAACAGTTGGGCACAAATCTAAACGGCTCGACGTACGGATTTGAAAGTCGGGACGTGGGAGGGTAATCCGAAAACGAGTTGGGATGTTGAAGATGGGGGTCAAAGGTCAAAGGTCAAGAGGTGTAAAAGAAGGGAGAAGAATAAAAAAGACTTATGTATAAGCCGTCTTGCTATGCACAAATGAATTTATCAGCAGAACACCAGACACCAGATGAGCCCTGTCGCACTGCAGCACTTGTTATGAAATATTGCTCAGCATTGTATGCTGAATAATATATTGATTGTACAGTCAATATTAATAACTATTAATTATTCAATTGTGGTCTCTATTTATATTTAATTTGAAATCTATTTTATTATGTGTAGTCTGTGATGTAGATTTGTGGTGCTGTAAATCATTATAGAAAGCAAGGTGCTTGTTGAAGAGTTAAGCAACATAAAAGATGATGTATATTTTTTGTATGTATTCGTGCCACCTGTACAGGGCCTTATAATTATTATAGTTGTGATCGATTCCTATATGCAGTTGTGAGAGGTGATTATTTACTGATGTTCTAGGAATAATTATGCATTTGTTATAACATATTGCATGTATATTGAATAATTAGTAATGTTATGTATTGTGTAGTGGTATTTATCTTTTTGCAAGTGTCCTATACGTACGTGTGTGATTGCATATAAGGAAAGTGATTTCAGGTACCGGTATACTGCAAATTGTGATTTTTACTTTTTGAGATGAAATATTTTTTGTCAGTGTTTATTCTCGTAACAGCGTGATTACGTTTGTGTACTAAAATATATGTAGAAGACAGGTGTAAAATATGGTGAAGGTATAATCAGCCTGCTGGTGCCATAAATAGGACTGGTTAGTGCACAGGTGAGTATTATGACAATAAAATTAGGTGAATTGGGGCAATTAAATTAATCTGGTGCAGATTGTGGCACCTTCAGAAATTCGAGTGATATAGCAATCAGATGTGATGACCCCAAAAAATTTATCTGTGATTTTCAAAACATTGTAAATAATCTTAGTTTTATAATAAAAAATTTGAAACGATTAAATGTATTTATTCTATTAACACGTGACCTGATAATTTGTAGGGCCTACTGTACAGTACTGAGTAACAGAATTGTGCTTTTGGAGTTTATGCATAAAATAAGCACACATTCAGTCATAGTAACATAAGAACTTTTATATTATGATTAGGGGTGCACCGGAACTTGGATCCGGCCGAATCCCAAATTTTTCAGAGTTCCGGTTCTGGCCGGAACCCTCCAGGAACAGTCGGCCGGAACCGGAACCTTTTCCTAAATTCATTTCTGCTACAAGCGTCATCAAGATCAAAAGATCAGTCACTGAATGTAGTTGAGCGTCAGTAGATTCAACTTGCTGACAATATAGTGTTAACAACTTCACACTATTCCGCCCAAAAAACTTTGCCACTTGAACATCGTCTAACTAACTGAACTGAACCTAACTTATGTTAGGTGATTCATGAGATTTTCTTTTAAAATAAAATACTCTTACTCTTAGAGCCACAGGAATGGCATCTGTCTGTTAGTGTTAGTTGAAAATAATCGACTAAAACCATGCAGCTAGGTATACTGCAACATGCAGGTTTTGCCACACAATTCGCTCGCGACTAAGATGCCAGAATCATGCATTGTAAGCAGATGATTCATACACCTATAACAACCATCCTGTAATTAGAACTGTAGCATTGAGAACAATGAGAACAATGTAGAATGTGAACATGTAGACAATGAGAACATGTAGAACAATGAGCATTGTCCTACTCGCCCGAGTGATGTGCATGCTAATAATATTTTGTTCAGGCTGAGTGAGTTTGCACAATACTGGGCCAAAACTGTCAAGTTTATTCCCAGCTTAAAGGGATACTAGACTCTAGGATTTTACTGCATACAACTGCACTTACTGTATAACAAATAGTCTATACCCACACGTACTTGTTACCAGACACCCAATTTAATTGTTAATTAATTATACATCAACGCTACGAAATTTGAACGGCGCCATTGACACCCGCGACCGTGCTGCCACCTTGAAAAAGTTGCGCATTTCCCAATATATTTTGGACGTTACAGACCGAGGGCTATAATCACAATTAAAGGTGCAATTATATTTATACCTAAATGCTATTTAACAGAACGATGTTCATTTTAGGACAAATTTATCCATAATATAACTGAAACTATATGTCGCTTATATGATATTATAATCCTTTTTCTTTTAAATTAATAAATAAGAAACACCCTCGGTCTGTAGCCCTTGGCTGAAAAGTTGTTTTGCGCGACTTTTCAGATCGTGCGCTTTGATCGAGTGGCGCCACCATCGTTGTAATCCAACTGTAGACGTTAGTTTTAAAACATTTTTTTTAAATATTTCGAATGGTGATTGAACCATGAAACTTTTTATGTAGCGTAATTTTAACCTAAATTAACTGAAAATAACCCTAGAACCTAGAGTAAAAGATCCCTTTAAGGTCCGGTTCCGGCCAGGTAGTTCCGGCTGGTTCCGGTTCATATGCTTCATTTTTATGTTCTTTATGTTCATTTTTGTGTTCCGGCTGGTTCATTTTTATGTTCCGGTCCGAAACATAAAAAGTTGGATCTGGTGCACCCCTAATTATGATGTGGTCCCCCATGTATACTAGCAACATAATTGATTAGAATAGTATCCTATATTCACAAGTCGTATTTCTTTTACAAACACTATTTATCTGACGCACACTAATGTCCACACGCACACACATCAACGCATACAAATACACATACAAATACTGTTGTAACCATCAATGTGTGTACATACAATTTGGATGCAATTTCCCTTTCTCTTAATACCTTTACTTCTGTAACCACTTGCCAACTCCACATTACCAGTATAAATTTGACATACATTTTTACAATACACATCAATCCATGAACGCATTCATTCTAGTCATAGATAGCTTATAATAAAGTGAAATATCTCTATCGTATAAGAAGTATGAAAATCATGCTCTAATAATTTCACTATTACTATTCATATAAAATGAGCTACAGTCCTAATGAAGTAGTTCATAGTCATACTAATGCTCATAGGGTCTATGTCCCCCAGGGTACTGCCGGAACGTACCCTGGGTACGGTCCGGTATACCGGAACCTACCCTGGGTACGGTCCGGTATACCGGAACCTACCCTGGTCACTATTTAATATGGTTAGGGTTAGGGTTAGGGTTAGGGAGTAGGCGTAGGCGACTCCCTAGACTCGTTAGTGGAGTAGGCGAGGTACGGTCCGGCATATTAGATAGTACCATGGTACCGTTCCGGTATGCCAGACCGTACCAGGGTACGTTCCGGCAAGTACCCGGGGGACAAGACCCTCTCAGCATACTAATATTTGGTAAATGTTGCTTCTAGGGTTGGCATGTATATCCGGCCGACCAAATGTGACCAGGCAGACTAGAACATAGATTGAGGATCTTGTTGCCTAACACACTTCCTAACTGGGATGAATAATGAAAATGAATGAAGGGAACCAGATTTGGGATCCAAAGAATTTGTGGCCTGGCCAGTTCATTAGATAGGTAGTAGCATGGCCAGCTTGAGTCCACTAACAGTTCACTCCAAGTGCCGCAAGCGAACAGCGCTCAACCTGTCGCTCATTGTCTTCCGGGAATACGGAACCTACCCTGGTCACTATTAATATGGTTAGGGTTAGGGTAGGGTTAGGGAGTAGGCGTAGGCGATCCCTAGACTCGTTAGTGGAGTAGGCGAGGTACGGTCCGGCATATTAGATAGTACCATGGTACGTTCCGGTATGCCAGACCGTACCGGAGTACGTTCCGCAGCTAACCCCGGGGGGACATAGACCCTCTCAGCCATACTAATATTTGGTAATGTGCTTCTAGGGTTGGGCATGTATACCGGCCGACAGAATGTGACCAGGCAGACTAGACTAGATGAGGATCTTGTTGCCTAACACACTTCCAACTGGGATGAATAATGAAAATGAATGAAGGGACAGCATTTGGGATCAAAGAATTTTGTGCCTGGCCAAGTTCATTAGATAGGTAGTAGCATTGGCCAGCTTGAGTCACTAACAGTCATACAAGTGCCGCAGAGCGACAGCGCTCACCTGACGGCAGGTGTTCTGATGCTAAGCCTAAAAAAATTCCTATTACTAATGCTCATAGGGTCTATGTCCCCCAGGGTACTGCCGAACGTACCCTGGGTACGCGTCCGGTATACCGGAACCTACCCTGGTCACTATTTAATATGGTTTAGGGTTAGGGTTAGGGTTAGGAGTAGGCTAGGCGACTCCCTTAGACTCGTTAGTGGAGTGTCGAGGTACGGTCCGGCATTAGATACGTACCATGGTACGTTCCGGTATGCCAGACCGTACCCAGGGTACGGTCCGGCAGTACCCGGGGCGCATAGACCCTCTCAAGCCATACTAATATATTTGGTAATGGTGCTTCTAGGGTGTGGCATGCTATACCGGCCGACAGAATGTGACCAGGCAGACTAGACTAGATGAGGATCTTTGTTGCCTAACACACTTCCTAACTGGGATGAATAATGAAAATGAATGAAGGGAACAGATTTGGGATCAAAGAATTTGTGCCTGGCCAAGTTCATTAGATAGGTAGTAGCATTGGCCAGCTTTGAGATCACTCAACAGTCATACAAGTGCCGCAGAGCGACAGCGCTCACCTGACGGCAGGTGTTCTGATGCTAAGGCCTAAAAAAATAAATGATGTGTTTCGAGAACCGGTCTTGAAAAAATTAGTAGGGTAGGTAGGGATTTTTTTTTTTTTTTTTAATAAGCCGATCGATGTGTGCAATTTTTCGGACGTATTACTACCAGCGTTTCACTTACCAGTAGTATATACTGGACAACGTTGTTCCTATGACATTGTATACAGAATGTCAGTGCGTCCTGCGCTTGCATAAATCGAGTTTCAACCTGTACTGCAGTGAACAGGCGACATCAACAATACCGCGATAAGAGATCGACGCTGTTCGAGCTGCGTAGACAACTGGGTTGTGATTGTTGGTCAAAATACGTCGATATACATTGCATCTAACTGAAAATGTTTGCTTGTTTTTTGTTTTGTTTTTTATTGACATAATATCACATATTGACATATCAGATTTTTTTATTTTTTGATAAATTTATTTTTTTTTGGAAAATGGAAAAAAAAATAGGGTCGGCCCTATTTGCTAGGTAGGGTCGGGTCTCGGAAACACACTTTTTTTTTTTTAGGCCTAAACTCGCTGGCAAACAAATAAAGAGCACCCTCCTCAACCGCGTTCGCGCTCAGGCATATATCTAGGATACTACTAATACAGATCTAAAATCTATGATAGCTTAGGGCTTTGCTATACCGGTAGTACAGTAATAAAGATACAGCTGTGTAACTTTAATGACTTCGCAATATTAACATGTTATCATGGATATGCGTCGAGCGCGAGCGTATGGTGGTGGTGGTGGGAGAGTGGGCGGAGGGGCGGGTGGAAGGGGCTCTAATAGCAAAAGCAGTTGCCGCGAGATGGCGCGTGCAAGTGTCATCAATAATCAAAGATGGCATCACCTTCGTGCGTGATAACCTCACTCCATTGAGTTGCTGAAATCCAAGTATATTCAGGCAGGCGAGAATTTCGCTCAGCTGTGAGTTAACACATCTGCATTGCAGGTTGCCAGACAATAAATTATGATTAGAATAGTGCCAGTTCACCCCCATGCATGCGTAATGGGCTGCCCCCATGATTTTGCCTACACACGCGAGCATTCAGGTTCATTACAGTGTTGCTATTACAGGGTGCTACTCAGGGTGCTAATACAGACTGCTTTAGAAAAATAATATGATTTAAGGAGCGTAAACCTTGTTCAAACAAACATTTGCCTTTGCAATTGAACTGTGCAACTGTAGCCTCACATCCACAAGCAAAAGCAGTCAGTCCTTTGTTAACAGTCAACAAATCCATGTTTAACCCTCCTCTTGAGGGTCAAAAGGTTATCCGACACTTACTCTCACATGTCAGCAGAAAGTACATTTCACGGTCCTTTCAATAAAGCCATAAAATGCTAAGTCACCGCTGAACAAAAAAGTTTTTCAATCGCTCCGTCACACCATGTCCTCAGAAAATGTATAAGAATCTCCCTGTGCCCATTGACCTTTGACCTGTGACCTCCAATTTCAGCACAGTGATGGGCTTTTCCTACCATGATGCCTATACAAGACTATCACAAGCCTAGGTCGAGCCATTTAGATTTGTGCCGCAATTCTGCATTTCCTCCCTATACCTTAAGTTAAGGAGGGAATGTTCCCCCTTCTTTTACACCTCTTGACCTTTAACCTTTGACCCCCAGCTTCGACATCCCAACTCGTTTTGACGATCCCCCCCAACGTCCCGAATAACGTGACCGTACATCGAGCGGATAAGATTTGTGCCCAACTATTGACGGACGCACGGCCGGACGCACGCACGGACGGACGGACGATCATGCGATTCTACAAGCTGCATCTGACTATGTCAGATGAGCTAAAAAAGTGACAGAATTTTAATGATACAGATTATGAATGATTGGTCAGTGATATTGAGGGGCTCATACATAGTAGAGGCACCTATGGTAATCTAGTTATTTAAAATGCCGTGATTTACGAAAATTTCCTACCATTCTCTAAAAATATGAAAATGGTACCCATTGTTAATTAAAAAAACATTCAAGGCTGAGACAGGTCATTCCAAACTCACACATGTACACAACCTCTTCTACGTAAACGATGAATAAAAACATGATATAAATTCAATTTAATAATATTGCAATGAATCACGAAGATTCACACATTAATTAACATACAATATGTACAAATTCCCTAATTCCCTTATATTTAATTCAGTCAAAGATTAGAACAAAGCAGATCTGCGCAACAACCTTATGAAACTAATTCAAATCGCTAATACTATTCTGGCTTAGAATCCTTGCCAGTCACTCATATCATCTTCATCCATTTCCACCCCAGTGCAATGAATTCCATCCTTCAATGAAGGTGTGCCTTTCCCCTTACCTGAGAGGTAAACAAGGTAAAACACAGTTTACTATCAACAGTGTAGCGCGGATACCCTTTGCCCATCTCCAAGGACTATAATAAGTTGTTGCTTCATTTAAGCCACAGAAGATACTTACCAAGCACTCTAGCCATGATGATAATTGTATAATGTCTTTTTTCATCCTCAGTAGATGTTAGTACTAAGGGTTCTTTCAACAGTTTCTCCTTGTGTGCCAACAAATCAATTATTAGGTCGTGACCCATGCCTAAAATCACAAGAAGTTCATATGCTATCAGGGTTAGCAGATCTATGCAAAATACCTATTAAAACTAAGCAAGTGCACAGAAAGTGTGAAAGCTGCCCGAGACCAACATTAAATGATTTCATATTACCAGTATGAGTATGGTAGTGATCTGCATGGCTTTCATAGCTTGACCTGGTTACAAGCAAGAAATTACTTAAGAAAAACCTAAACTGTGTTCTATTTCCCCCACCCAATGTCCTCTGTAGTACCTACCACTTTCTGCTGGTCGGATCTCCTCTAGTCTGATGTGAGCAGCTGGTTCTGCAATAACCTCTTCTCCCAACTGGTCAGGAATGCAAAACCTCACCTCATACCTGTGTTTGTACTGCAAGAAGCCCAGGTGAACTGAAACCTGAAACAGGCAGGTAAGTAACTACTAAGGAAAGCTATTACAAACATGTTACCATTAAAGCATCCATGCTTATGAGTGATATAATGACAGAAAGTTGAGGTTATAGTCATCCTACAACTGTGATACTCATAATAAAGCTTCATGTCATACCTTATCCACTGCCTCTGGTCTGACCACTATCTGTGAGTCGTGCCCCTCTTGCAGTTCTGGTTCCGTTACTGTGAAGTGAACGTGAGCAGATGCTGAAATGACAACGTCACAGTGACAACTCTTGAAACTGATGCAATTTCTGCACCACCGGTGTAAAAACCTGCTATGCCTAAGTCGACTTGGTATTTAACGCAATTTAGATGACTTTGTTGCCTAGTATAAGATATAATGGGTTTTGCTCCTTCTGACTGGCAATATAACAAGGATTGAAGGTAGGCTTTTCATTCTAGGTTTTTTCATTCACAGAAGGGTAGGCTTTTTTTTAAATCTTGGTTTCACACTAGTTTCCTAATATGAACAGGTTATGACAGCAGGGAATGAAATTAGCCAAAATGTGAACAGGCTAATCCAACATTTTAAACAGGCCCTTAGACAAATTGAACAGGTCCTTACAAGTTTGAACAGGCCCTTAATTTTGTTCAATTTATTCCATTACTAATAAAGGAATTTTATCTTTGTGTTTATTAGGCATACTCATAGTATTTCAATATTTCATTGCTATCAGTGGTCGGAGATCTAGTTGTTTGTCAGGAATTGCTGGAACATGATTTACTTCTGAGCACTAGCAGTCACCAAGTAAAAACTAGTCAGGAAATTTGTAAATATTGTTGATATAAAGGCAAGATAGGCAAATTTTGAATAGGCCAAGTGAACTGATTATATGGGGGTTTGAAGCGGTGGCCGCCGGCAAAATAGCTATAATTTCGCGCACTGCGACAGTTCTAAATAAAGCGCTGCTTTTAATATAAATTTTAGTGCCACCTTTCCCCCACAAAGCTGTGTAAAATATATATAGAGAGTAATAGCAACCCTACTAGATCAATAAATTGTGTTCTAGGCACTTTTATATGATGACACTTTAGGTTCCAATTCTCTACCATATCAGTCATATGCAGCTACAGTGAGTGGTAACCTCATCATGATAACTCTATACATAATCCACAGGACTATAAAGAAGACAGAGTTTGACATCAGTTAGATCAGTAGATCAACACACTGCAAACAACAGCACAGAAGGTTTCAATGTTACAATTTTTTAAAGATAATGGGAAAGAGTTCGAGGAAGGAACCACTGAAACAAAGACACCAAATGTGACTGGGTCCTATGAGCATGAGTCTGAGACATGGTGGAAACAGTGGTCAGAAGGAGATGACTGAGTACGATGAAACTAAGAAGATTTGATCTTGAAAGTAAGATAGGATAGTAAGATACTAATTTCAATGTGGCCGTGGTAAATATTGTAAAAGCTTGTGGGATTCGTACAACAAAAACGAGCACAAAGAGGGGGCCAGTCGAGATCGGCAAGAATATCTTCAGAACTGGACTTGTAGTTATTTTTGACCCATCAAGCAGCTTTGTGCTAAATGTGTTCTAATCTGTTGCAGTTCTGTATGGTACACAGGGCCTAGCCAGCACGGTATATTCAAGAGCATGGAGGATCATGGTTTTAAATGCCAGTAGCTAGGTTTCATTGTCAGCAAGAGAACGATTGTGGCATAGCATGCCTAAGGAGCGATTACCCTTCTCACAGATGTAATCAATGAGGGCGTTTCAGCGAAGGTTGCTACTAATGATAACAAACACGTGAATATTTGTACGTTGGAGTAAATGACAGGCACTCTTAAGGTAAGTAAGAGTAAACTAAAGATAAGGTGATTTATATGGGAAATGTATAAAATTTTGCATTTGTCAGAATTGAAGGTCGTGCCACAAGGCCATAGCTAGCGAAGGAGCGGGAGCAAGGGGGTCAGTTGCCCCCTCCCGAAGAAAATGGGATACAAACATGGTCAATGGCAGTCACCTCTCAGAACACAGCCATGCACGCGGCTTTGCCCCTCTAGGCAAAGGGGTTGCCTAAGCCCTGGCCAGGTCACACAGGCACTTGGAGCGTTTAAATAAAAAAAGAAGGCTAAATAGATACGAAATCTATTTACTATCATTTAAGTCTTAATGTTTCTATACTCTCTTTCACTTATTATGGCGACATTTCCTGAAAATGCCGTCCAATGCTCATCTGCAACAATTTGAACAAATGCTGGCTTGCCGTGCACACTGACACATAATATATAGCAGGTAGGAAGCGTATGTGGTAAATAAAATGGCTGCAAGAATATGCTATAATAGACTGGTACTCACTCCACCTCGATTACTCGATGGTTCGCTTCATCGAGTCTAAGCGAAAGGTGGGAGCGAGTAACAGTCTAAGGATATATAGGCGCGCACTGCATTTTGGAAACTACACGTGCTTTCCAACTCCCATAGAGCCTCGTCAAAAGCCGCCAGTGGAGCGTTGCAAAAACGTTGCAGGTTGCGGCAAAAAAAATGAGGTCACGAAGAGCGCCGGTGGGTGTTTCCTGATTCTGACAGCCATTTACAAAACTGCGCAATGGCAGCAAATTCAGAATTTCGTCCAGGCTTTGTGATTTCGCGTGACACAGCTCGGTTACGCACACAGACAATATTTTTTTATAACAAGTGAACACTGTTCTGAAATAGAAACAAAGATGAAGTAGAATGGTGAATATTTGTGTTGTATTCGTGTGAAATCAGTGAGCGTCGAGCGAATTTTGGCAGCACGCTTTCCTACCTGCTATATATTTATGTGTCAGTGTGCAGCGGCAGCCATGGCAACAGCCAGCGTTTGTTTCAAATTGTTGAAGATGAGCATTTGACGCATTTGCAGAAATTGTCGACCAATAATAGGTGAAGCAGAGTATAGAAACATTAAAGCGCACAATGCGCATCCAACGGCTACTTTCTCCAGTACTAACAGAGCAAATACTTGGGCATGCATAATACACTACCTTATGACAAAAGAACTCTAGTTGCGCTGAGAGGGTCTATGTCCGCCTGGGGTACTGCTGGAGCGTACCCTAGGTTACCGTCCGGTATACCAGAACGTACCCTGGAACTATCTAATATGCCAGACCGTACCTCGCCTACTCTACTAACGAGTCTAGAGAGTCGCCTACGCCTATCCCTAACCCTAACCTAACCCTAACCCTAACCCTAATCTACTACCCTAACCATATTAATAGTGACAGGGTACGTTCGGTATACGGACCATACCAAGGTACGTTCCGGCAGACCTGGGGGACATAGACACTATGAGCTCTAGTTGCTCCCATTTCACTGCGCGTTTGCTTAAAACCCACAAGAAAGAGTGAGAAAACTGGCATTCTGGCGCAAACGCCGACTTGTTTGCCAAACAATTTAGCCTTGAAGTGGTTAGGTGATGTCACGTTTTTATCTTTGCTACACCGTACGCTGTACGCAGCAACCGCTGGACAGGTTGCTTGGGGAAACTGTCAACAACATCGAGATTTGAACAACATTGGAGGTATTTTCAAATACCTTTATAAGACAATGCGGCAGTGAATGTGGAGAAACTGGGTTATTTTGTCATAAGGTAGTGTGATTATGCATGCCACGAAGTATTTGCTGTCTAGTACTGAGAAATTAGGTTTGGATGCGCATTGTGCGGCTTAAGATTTGTAGTAATTAGATTTCGTATTTATTTAGCATTATATTTTATTGAAACGCTCCAAGTGCCTTGGCCCAGTAATGGCCCATATTTCAACACAGGTAATTAAGGATACGCCGCAGGGCTATCTTGGTCATCCTTACTGTGAAACGTATGGTGGCCAAGTCTAGTTTAGGATATGATCACTCCATTTAGCAATATGCGAAACACATTTGGGAGGCTAGTCTAGAAGCATCTGACGCCATTGTGTATTGTATTATAGACATGAAGTTGTGGGACATGTCTTCTAGACTAGGGCCACATTTGCAGGTCCAAAACTATCCTTGATCTGCACACTGTCCTCATCCTTGCCACACATTTGGCATTACCACTTACTCATTAGGTGTACACGAGGTATTAGATATAAATGGCTCGAGGATAGAGAAATGTCCAGTAATAAACATCATCCTATCCTATCACTGTCCTGGACGCGTGATTTTTTTTCCTAGGTCAATCAAGAACATAGGGCTCTAGTCTAGTGAGCGCTGCAATTGGTTGATACAAAATCACGTGCCTCAAACTCCTGTTTTTATGGTGCATTCACTGCATTGTGACCCTATCCCTAACCCTAACCCTATTAGAAAAAATATATAAAAAATTGTTGTAAATTTAATTGTTGTAAAAATAATTGTTGTTATTAAATTGTTGTAAATAAATCATGGAAATATTTGCGTTAATTGGAAAAATATTGTTAAACGCGATAAAGTAGTAAAAATTAGCAGAAAGCAGAAAACTAATTAAAAACAGATGGTATTCGATCACACGACCTTTCAGGGCCTTCGAATTGGCGTGCCTGTATCGGGCGTCGGCTATTGAGGATTTATTGGAGTTGATGGATTTTGGATCTGCTATGATATGACGACACTGTCTGACGTCATTGAGAGGACGCAACAAGCTCAACCAATAGCAGCGCTGCACTAGAGCCCTATGTTCTTGATTGACCTAGGCAAAAGAGTGGGGTTGTATTAGCTCTAGAACTATAGCCCTCCGCCGCGCGCGCTCGAATCCGCCTCCGTCCGCTCCTGCGGCGGAGCGGAGGGCTATAGTGTCTAGAGGCTAGGGTTGTATATACAATCACCCTTACTCTTGTTGGTTACCGATTATTGTATCTACAGGCCTACAGGGTGGCCCTGCATGATGTGGCTTGCATGGCGTGAGCACTATTGCTCTTAACTCTTTATAGCATTTATTAATAATCTAATTAATAAAAATGAAACTCTCATTCGCATTTACGCCAACAATATATAATTCTTCACCATACGTGGGCGCACTGACGTAGCATTACTACTACTAGTACTAGTATTTACTCTACCATTATGACTTTCCATGTGTTGTGTTTCTTGTTGATCATGTTCCATCATTTCGTCCTGGTTTCAGTTGGCGTTGGCGGTTGGCTGCGACTGGCGAGTGGCGACTCGTTGTGTTACTAGATTTGGTCTACTCAAACCCCTCAGACATAAACACGTTGTGTATATCTATGGTCTACTCACAATGGTGGGTTGGTCAGTTTCGCTCCAAACATACGGGAAATGTGTACACAGAACACGCACGGTCTAACAAGCGCAAAGATCTAGTAACACACACGCCGGCAAATCTTGCGGGAAGCAAGGAAGACGCTGTTAGTGTTAGATGTCGCCAAGAGGTGCCGCCTGCTGTCGACTGTATCGGGTCGTATCGTGAGCGGTTAGCCGGAAAACATTTATCGATTGTAGGTGTCCAAAAAGAGCATGGCAGCCGCCATCAAGTTGTAAGCGTGAAACGTTGATTAACATATTTCGGGATTAGGAAGAGAAACACCGACTTTTACGTATAACAGTGTCTGTTTCGCACCATACGAACAAGTCATCATGCAACAAGACGACGTATGCAATGTTATTGTTGAGAATAATACTGTATTGAATGTCATTTTTGTATAACTACGTAACACTAACACTGTCAATGTTGATGTTGATGTTGGTCTGACTTGATGCTACATTGCTAGCTCTAGTACTATAACCCGCGGGCCGCGTACATTGACTGCCGCAGGGCTATAGAACATTTTCAGCTAGATTTCGCTGCTGCAACAGTTTTCAAAGTTCCCACGAAAAATCGCTTTACAAAATGCAAAATGATCAGGCTTTTTAACAAGTGCTAAGTTCTAACAGTAACAGTAACACTTATCTATCTACGTAGACATCTCACCTATCTTTTTGAACACTTCCCACAACTTTACACTATGTATTTTAGCTCTAGTAACGGTGCAAATCTACTTTAGGCACCTTAGGTATCACGAAGTGATGCACAAATTTCTGTGTATCATCAACTGATGCACAGACTTTCCGTATATCCAGATGAGACGGGATACTAGAGAAGCGTTGCCAAAAGGAGGTGTTGATCCGAAGCGCTGCGAACAGATCTTGCACGAAGTTCCGTGGCAAGGCGCACGCGACCGCGGGAACGTCCTACGACAGTATGCAGCGCTGGCAGCTATGGATCCGTGCGCCGAATGCATAGGTCGGCACACGAATCCATAGCTGCCAGCGAGCAGTCGATAATTTTACCGGGAATACAATGAAACAGCTCAGCTGCATTGAGCTGCTGTTCTTTGCAAGTTCAATCAAAATATCAATAAAAGTGTCAACACCTTTTACTTCTACACTGTGTTGTATAAGTTAGGGTTAGGGTTAGGGTTCGGGTTAGGGTCAGGGTATTAGGCAGGAATATTTGTAATTCTTTCACATTTTTAACTTGTTTACATTTGTACATTTTACACTTTTTTCCATTTCTTTGGCCGTGCAGTTTCAAAACGGACCGTGCAAATCACGGCTGCACGGCTCGCTGGCTAATACGCATACACACACGACAGACACACTCACACAGTCTTGACTATACAAACAGACATGCATATACGCACACACACACGCACACACATAGATATATTTATGCATTCGAAAAAACCCTAACCCTAACCCTAACCTTAACCTAACACACTTCGTGATACCTATAAGATTATACTTTATGACTTAGGGTTAGGGTTAGGGTTTTTGCATCATTCCTTGATATACGGAAAGTCTGTGCATTAGTTGATGATACACAGACATCTGTGCATCACTTCGTGATACCTAAGGTGCCTAAAGTGGATTTGCGCCCTAGTAACTATAGCCCGCGTACAGTTGCCGCAGACACTGTACGCGGGCTATAGTTACTAGAGCTACATGTATTTATGCCTTTAATAGCTTTATTCCTCACAAGTTATACTGGCTGTACAGTTTGAAATATTATGGCGTGCGAACGCGTGGCGTCATCGGATATGTAGGCAAAACACATGGCAGCTATGGTGCATGTATATACAATACCGGTGACGTCACGCGTTCGCACGCCACAATATTTCAAACTGTACAGCCAGTAGTGCTGACTTGTGAGGAATAAAGCTATTAAAGGCATAAGTACATGGTGTAAAGTTGTGGAAAGTGTTCAAAAAGATAGGTGAGATGTCCACTTGGATAGATAAGTGTTAAAAAGCCCGATCATTTTGCGTTTTGTAAAGCGATTTTTCGTGGGAACTTTGGGAACTGTTGCAGCAGCGAAATCTACCTGAAAATGTTCTATAGCCCTGCGGCACTCAATGTACGCGGGCTATAGTACTAGAGCTAACTTGATGCCTACTACTACTAGTACTAGTACTAGTACTGCTGAGAGGGTCTATGTCCCCCAGAGTACTGCCGGAACGTACCCTGGGTACGGTCCGGTATACCCCTGGTACTACTACTATCTAATATGTCGGACCGTACCTCGCCTACTTTTTCTGTTTTCTGTTTGTGTCTTAACAGTATGCCTGCCTTTTTATTAGAATTTCAATATTAGTTCACTGTACACGCTGTAAATATCCTAAGGTAAACAAAATAAACCAGATTGCAACTCTCATTCGATTGGGACTTGGAAAACCTGATAAGACACAAGTAAAAAAATTACAACTATATTTTAATCTCAAGGTGCCATGTGTTTGCCTAATTGTCTTAACATTCACGATCACTCTTTTTGTTTTTATTTGAACTGTCCTGGTCAAAAATGGCTGCAATTGTGTTGTTTTCACTCACATTATTTCAGAAAATGATGCATAGGGGGAACTCTGTGAATAAGTAGTGTCCAGTAGCACGCAGTTAATTACTGCAAGCAAGCTAAAGGTTTGAAATGTTATTTTAAACATGTTACTCCGGTTTGCGGATGTTTGGAAACTGGGACAACTATAAGTTTTTGTTTAGTAATAAAATTACTTTCTTATTGCTTCGCAATACCACTGAAACCTTCGGCATGCATTAAAAAACAGAATTGAATGAAACCTGCATTCTTGTATGTCTTTCGGCCAATGATTAGTGTGAGATATCTCTCCCTCCCATTCTTTATAGGAGTTTATACCATCTATTATAAAAGTCAATACTATCAGTGCCAAATGTAACACATTTAAAAAACTAGACAGAGGGCACTCACGGAGAGTGCATACCTCCGCGAGCATGTAACATGTATGTGCTCGCTGGTGGCGGCTGCTTACTGACTCGCCTGCTGCTGCCTCGCCGCTCACTGGTGGCTGCTGCTGACTCGCCACTCGCTGACCCGACGCGCTGGCTGACTCGCCGCTCACTGGTGGCTGCTGCTGACTCGCCACTCGCTGACTCGACGCGCTATCGATCGCGCCGCCCGCTCGCTGACTCTAGTTTCAGTTTTAGTTGCAGTTTCTAGTAGTTCTAGCTTGTAGTAGTAGAATCGCTGAAATATTGATTGTTGCGCACAAGCGAGCGAGCTGCTGCTGACTCGACGCCCTAAGGCGAGCATGTGCTGAATCGATCGCTGCTGGCTCGCTGCTGGCTACACACACACACGAACACACACACGAACACATCACACGAGAGGCATCACATTACCTAACTGCAACTCCGTTGCGCGGAGGTAATAATGCAGACTGGTCCTATGAGTTTGTGTGCCAGCCATCTCCACTGATGTTTACAATGTGATTTTCAGGTTATCTGGAGTATTATCAATGGTTCATTCTGCTCATTCAAGACACAGTAAGTAATTATGTATAAAAATATGTACTCACAGATGTAATCAATGAGGGCGTTTCAGCGAAGGTTGCTACTAATGATAACAAACACGTGAATATTTGTACGTTGGAGTAAATGACAGGCACTCTTAAGGTACAGTAGGTAAACGTAAAGGTTAAAGGTGATTTATATGGGAAAATGTATAAAATTTTGCATTTGTCAGAATTGAAGGTCGTGCCCACAAGGCCATAGCTAGCGGAAGGAGCGGGAGCAAGGGGGTCAGTTGCCCCCTCCCCGAAAGAAATGGGATACAATACATGGTCAATGGCAGTCACCTTCTCAGAACACACCATGCACGCGGCTTTGCCCCTCTAGGCAAAGTGGGTTGCCTAAGCTCCTGGCCCAGGTCACAGGCACTTGGAGCGTTTCAATAAAAAAAAAGGCTAAATAGATACCAAATCTATTTACTATCATTTAAGTCTTAATGTTTCTATACTCTCTTTCACCTATTATTGCCGACAATTTCCTGAAAATGCCGTCCAAATGCTCATCTGCAACAATTTGAACAAATGCTGGCTGCCGCTGCACACTGACACATAAATATATAGCAGGTAGGAAAGCGTATGTGGTAATAAAATGGCTGCAAGTACAGGGCTATATAGACTGGTACTCACTCCCACCTCGATTACTCGATGGTATCGCTCTCATCGAGTAACTAAGCCGAAAGGTGGGAGCGAGTAACAGTCTAAGGGCTATATAGGCGGCGCACTGCATTTTGGAAAACTACCACGCTGCTTTCCAACTCCCATACGAGCCTCGTCAAAGCCGCCAGTGGAGCGTTGCAAAAACGTTGCAGCGTTGCGGCACAAAAAATGAGGTCACGAAGAGCGCCGGTGGGTGTTTCCCGATTCTGACAGCCATTTACAAAAACTGCGCAATGGCAGCAAATTCAAGAATTTCGTCAGGCTTTGTGATTTCGCGTGACACAGCTCGGTTACGCACACAGACAATATGTTTTTATAACAAGTGAACACTGTTCTTGAAATAGAAACAAAGATGAAGTAGAATGGTTGAATATTTGTGTTGTATTCGTGTGAAATCAAGTGAGCGTCGAGCGAATTTTGGCAGCACGCTTTCCTACCTGCTATATATTTATGTGTCAGTGTGCAGCGGCAGCCATGGTAACAGCCAGCGTTTGTTCAAATTGTTGAAGATGAGCATTTGGACGGCATTTGCAGGAAATTGTCGACAATAATAGGTGAAAGCAGAGTATAGAAACATTAAAGCCGCACAATGCGCATCCAAACGCTACTTTCTCCAGTACTAGACTAGCAAATACTTCGTGGCATGCATAATCACACTACCTTATGACAAAATAAACTCTAGTTGCGCTGAGAGGGTCTATGTCCCCCGGGGTACTGCTGGAGCGTACCCTAGGTACCATCCGGTATACCAGAACGTACCCTGGTACTATCTAATATGCCAGACCGTACCTCGCCTACTCTACTAACGAGTCTAGAGAGTCGCCTACGCCTACTCCCTAACCCTAACCTTAACCCTACCCCTAACCCTAATCCTAACCCTAACCATATTAAATAGTGACCAGGGTACGTTCCGGTATACCGGACCGTACCAAGGGTACGTTCCGGCAGTAACCTGGGGGACATAGACACTATGAGCTCTAGTTGCTCCCATTTCACTGCGCGTTTGCTTAAAACCCACAAGAAAGA